ACGTACACTTGGTGGCATTCGATACCAATTTTCACCAATGGAATATTAAAATTTAATTGTAGCCAATTTTCAGTTTTCGTTATAAATTTTGTTATACAATAGTTCGACTCTTTCTATTTTTTTTTTAATGGTACAACAAAATTTCTCAATTTTGTTTACCATACATTTTTTAAAATCGTCATTTTTAAAACCACAATTAAAACTAGTCTACTTTTCAAGTAATCCATTAATATAAGTTTCATTTAAATAGAATACGTATTAAATCCTTTTTTTAAACAAACCTCAGCAAAACAACAATTTTTGATAATTTTTAATCTAAAACTATTTTATCTAAAATTTCATCAATAATTTAATTAGGGTAGTCGGGGGGTAACATATAATGTATCATATTAAAATACATACATTTAAAAATATTTATAAAAAAAGGTTCATAACTCTTGGAGGCTCTAAATATAGTTTCTGACTTATTTAAAGTAAAATAATGTTAGTAGTTAGGTTATGTCATAATTTAGGTCTTTAATTATAAAGTCAATTAAAAATGTATTTCTTTAGAACAGGTCGTCGTCATTCGCGCCCCACTTATTGGACTTTGTTTCGTGGACTATTGCACGCGGTGTTGGTCAGTTAAAACACCATGTACATGTTGTAGGGTGTTGTCTGGCAAAGGTAGTGCAGGTCGCGGGGCTTTGTTTATCACGAAGCGACGAGAGACCTTGTCAATCGTTAATGTGAGGTGAAACTAAACTGTTAACCGTTTCTGTATTATTTATTGTGTTAACTGTTTCAATCTTGGCAAGTTGACCCAAAATGTATTCTATCGTTTTCATCTGTAGATTAAATAAAATAAATTAATTAGATAAATATATTTTTTTATTTTAAAGCTTGAGCGTTTTTGAAGCTTTTTGTGAAGTTTCATAACACTAACTGAAATATTATTGATACGAGAGCAAAAAAGTGTGTCAGCTAACTACAGTCTACCTTACTGGAAAAAGTTAAAAATGGATTTTCACAGAAACCCATGTCATGTTTATATTTATTGATTATAAGAAAAAATATTCTCGATAAAAATTTGTTGAAAAAATAAAATTTTGTTTGTTTTTAAGTTGGTTTCACTACAATATTTTTTTCGAAACAGTGCACACAAGGTACTGTTGCATGACCATACCATCCCACTTTTTACTGTAATATAATCAAATATAAAGTTATTTTCGTTAAAAAACCGAAAAATATTATTTTTTCATAAGCGTTATGAAAATTGTTATAATAATTTAGTTTTAAGGTGCATGTTATGATTTTGAAAATATCTTATTGAAACTACTTTTCACAGCTTTTCAAACATGAAAAAATGTAAATGGACATAAATTATCGTTAGTCAAGTGATCAAATTATTATTCAATTTCATACTTTGGTAGAATATTATTTAGAATGCCGTTAGAAATACTTTTTTGAATCATGATATCAAATATAAAAATTAGTTTTTATTTTATTTATAAAATAAAATAAATTACTCAGCCGCAAAAAATCAAAAGTTGATACCAAAAAAATTTTAAATACTCATATTTTCAATTGTAAAATTTTTTTTTTCACAAATTGTTCCTAATAAATAGAGATAATTTATAAGATTATTACTTTATCAATTACAAAAACACCAAATACTTATTATATTGAAAATTAATTTTAATTAATTATTCTAAATTTAGAATCCATCAAAGTCATCGAGTATTGAAGACTATAGAAATTGAATGATTTAGATTCATTAATATATGTTTTAGGTTTTAAAAAAGTATTTTCAGGGTATTCAGGAAAGTATTCTGTACAAGTATGTTGAATTTAAATTTCAAATAACATTGAGAGAACATTGTTTTAATTATAAAATTAAATAAATTTACAGAATTTTTCATATCAAAAGACAATTTATTACAAAAGTACATTCATAAATTTATTTTTATATTAGCATATAAAAATAGCACATAACGACTTTTGTGTAGTTTATTGTATACTACTGAGCTTATATCATTTGTATTTTAAGAATGATGTGTATAATTATTTTTTTTAATCATCAAAAATTCAATTGACATTTGATACTTAAGATATCATTATACATTTAATGAGTAACCAAAGCACTATTGTGCTTATGCACTTTATTTATACAGGCGATAACCGTACTACGATTATAGTGTAGCGTACCCGTATGACACATTTGACTCGCCGTCACTTAACATATTGACATAAAAATTATACATTTTAGCTTCGATGCAAAGCTTAGAAGGTATTAATTTTACCATGATGTGTTTTTTTTTTTATTTCTGTTGCCACTTTTTCTTAGCTCTCACTGGACCGATTTCTTTCAACAATACGTCAAAAGATCATAAATCGTATCTAGTTGAAGACATTACCCTTAAAAATTGAAAAAGTTTCCCTCGTTCCCCGCAAATGGGGGAAATCTACAAAAAAATTACAAATTTAAAAATTGGTAAATTTTGTCATTTTTTTCACTTTTTTTTCTTAAACCTTCCATAACATTTTCAAAAATAAACAAATCAATATAATTTTTTTTTATACTAAAACCTTAAATATTTCCCTTTCATTTTATATCATTTTTTTGAAAATTTAACACTTAACCCGCTCATTGGGGGGAAATTAAAATAGCAACTTTTTTTCAAAAACTTACTCTTTCAAATTTTTGAAAATGTTCCGGAAATACTGCGTCCTTGAAACATATATCAAATTAAAGCTTATGTCATGTACTATAAAATTAAAAAAAAAAAATTTGTCCCGGCGACCTATTTTCTATGCGCAAATGGCTACCGTATTCAAAAATATGCTATTTTTAATAATTGAAAATTTAACACTTAACCCGCTTATTGGGGGTGATTTAAAATATCTATTTTTTTGTTAATATTTTCGATTTTAAATTTTAAATTTTCAACTTAAAAATGCTATAACTTTTATAAAATTGTAATTATCAGCACAAAATTTTTTTTTCTAAATACATTACAAGTACATCTTTCATTTGACATACTTTTTATTAAAATTGGACAGTTTCCCTTTATTTAGGGGTCGTTCAAAACTTGAAACATTGTATAAAATATAGAACTTTTTCAACTTAACTTTTGAAAATGTTCCGGAAATACTGCGTCCTTTAAACATATGTCAAATTAAAGCTTATGTCTTGTACTATAAAATTTAAAAAAAAAAATTTGTCCCGGCGACCTATATTCTATGAGCAAATGGCTACCGTATTCAAAAATATGCTATTTTTGTGTTAAAATCCTGGGTTTTGTATTTTATTTTATTTTAAAATATCTTATAAAGGCAATACACTGATTTTCATGAATATTTTATAATTTAATTGACATAGTATAAAGTTCATAAGACATAAGAAATTAAACTTATAAAATTTTTTTTATTTTTTTAAAGTCGAAAAAGTAATTTTTAAATTTGAGTTAGCTTAAAAAGTCAATTTTTTCAAGCGGCGAAAGCAACAAACAGTTGCCGAGTCGGTAACACTTGTGTCTCTCATGCTAACGGTACGAGGTTCAATTCCATCTGTGTCTATTAATATTTTGCATTTTTTTTGAGTTAGAATAAAATTTTCAAATCATTTGATATTTATCTCATTTAGATTCAATAACTTCAATAAATATAAAGGATCCTATCACTATAGTCTCCCCTCATGAGAAGAAATTTATATTCATGTTAATATTATTTTATTATGTGTTTCTTTTTGTGGGTACGATTTATTTTGCCAAACCTCACTAGCTAGACCTACTATTTCAACGATACGTCAAATGATTGCAATTCGTATTTAATTTGAGTTATTACTCTTAAAAATCGAAAAAATATTCCTTATTCAAATAAGAAGTAGCTTAACAAGCTTTTTCCATACAAACAATTGAAAACATTAATTTCTATTATTCTTAAAGTATTCATTGTCGAATTAGATCAGGCACGGCACTAGCAATTTTTTCTAGGGGGGGGGCAGAGCGGGGCAAATATTTTTATTCCATGGGCTAAAGTGTTTCAGAAAGTACTCGGACCATTTAAATAAAATATAAATAAATAGTATGTACAAAGTTTTAAATAGTTAAAATTTGTTGAAGAATACTGTCAAATATTTCTATCTAATATAAGAAAATGTATAATAACAGACAAGTTTCTTTAATTTCACATACCTTAGTGACTGAATGATTAAGCTTCTTTAACTTATATTTTATAAATATAAATTAAAATAATTGTATTTAGTATTGAACAGATGAATTGATTTAACTCAAATTTAACCTTTGTTTCTTTATTTTCATCCAATAATTAGTACTCAATAAATGTAATAATAAATGAATAAAATATTTTTTCTCACTTTACAAATGAAAATATTAGAAATATATTAAAATATATTTGTTTGAAATTTTAGGAAATAATTTTTCTCATTAGGCAATACTATAAGGTTTATCTATAAAAAACTAAAAATGTTATTCTATCTGAATGTTGTTCATTCATCATGAAAATGTTATTAATTTCATTAATTCAATGACTATGATTAATAATACATTCAATTAATTTTTGAATTTATTGAGTAGTAGCAAATATATCAAATAAACTAAATTTTGATATTTCACACTATACCTAATAATGCACCATGTTGTAAATGGTTGAAAATCTTGTACCAATACCAGCAAAAATAATATTTTTAAAATAAAAACTGGTGATAACCTACCAAATATTTAATAAGTAGATTTCAAATTTCCAATCAAATAAATTTTTAAATAGTTGGTGTTAAGTGTACACATTTAAGTACTAACTTTGTAAGATGTTATAATAATTCATAGGTCATTAAAATATAAATACTCTATGAAATCCTTTTTATATTAATTAGACATTTAAACAAAATGTATAATTAAAAATGTATGAAGTAAATTTATCTTATACAATATTATTATTTAATTAAAAATTTTTAAAATAATAAGTAAATTGAACACTGTTTTTTTACATCAAACATTTATTCAAGTTAATAATATTCTTCGGTTTTTGTGAATAGCTGCAAATTTATCCACAACAACTTCCAAATCTAAATTCTTAGCAATTTTTTTTTCTATAGATAAAATTGCTATATTTGAAAGCCTTTTATTAGTCATTTTATTTCTCATGTAATTTTTAATTTGTCTTAAACTGGAGAAAGTTCTTTCAACTCCAGCACTAGATGGTCGAATGATAATAGAAATAATACAGAGTATATACATTTCAGAAAACGCTAATTTATATTTTTCAAGTAACTGCATAAAATCAAGAATTGTTTTTATCTGAATACCGTTTTCAGCTTCATGTCGCTTAATCAGTTTTGTAATTAGTGTTAGTTCTGATTCTAAGCTTTCTATGTCTAATTTATAGTGTTCAGCTAACGGTTTGATATTTGTAAAATTTAAAAATGTGTCACATTTTGGGATAAGGGCGCTGATACCTGTTAAAATTTCACTATGATCTGAAAATCTTCTATTGAGTTCACTAACCATTCTATCAAGGACTGGAAAAAATATCATTGTTTTTATATCGTTATTATTACTAATTTTTCTACTTTCAGAAGTTGTTACTTCAGTTATATATGATGAAAATTGTTTAGGAAGTTTGCGAATCCTTGTTTCTTTAACTGTTTCATTAGGAAGTTGAATATTATTTTTTTGTGCACATAATTCCACTTCTGTCAAAAGATCTTCAAACTTGTTTGAGGTGTTTCTAAATTCCATAAGGTAATTAATTAATGATTCTACTAGTAGACAGCTAGAACCCAAATCTGAATCTGGTTTTTGTAAATAATCTAACACAATTTTTATCTCACTAAATGTGTCACAAAATAAGTAGAGACAAAATATAAATTCAAAATTAATGTGAAATAATAGTGATTTAGCTTCCATTTCTTTTTCACTCTTGGATTCTAGGCTTATTTGATGTAATAAAAGTAATATCACAGGAAATGTTTTTTTTACAGCGATACAAGCAGAAATTTGACATATCCATCGAGTTTCACAAATCCTTTTTAGTTCCATAATTTTTTTTTTCGGTAATAATTTATTTTGAAGTTCTATGAATTTAGTATGAACAGTTGACCTACTAATAAAGTTGTACAATTGTTGAAGTAGAGTAATAAATTTTTCTATTTCAGGTATATTTTTACATACATCAACAATTACTAAATTTAATCTATGATTAAAACAATGTGTGTAAAGTGCTTGAGGAACATGCTGTTGAAAAATTGACCTAACCCCGTTTTGTTTACCACTCATTACATTTGCACCGTCATAAGTTTGAGCTATACAGTTTTTAATATTTATTCCACAGTCTGACAGTGTTTTATTTATGTAATCAAAAAGAGCCTTCGCATTTAATTCATTACAAGGAACATACCCTAAAAATCGTTCATTCATTGTGTTATTATGATAATAACGAACCATAATAGATAACTGCTCAGTTTTGCTCACGTCTTTTGTCTCATCTGCAAGAATAGCAAAATATTTGGCTTCTTTAACTTTTTTCACAATAGTTTCTAAAACTAATTTACTCATTACATAAAATAAATCATTTTGAATAGTATGATGAGTATATTTCACATTTTTTGGTAATATATCTATTTTAGCTTTAAATCTTGCGTCTCTCCTAGCACAAAGTTCTAGAAGTTCTAAAAAATTTCCTGTGAACAATAATATTTCTGAAATAACTGAAATGTAATATCGATTTTCTTTAATTAAAGATAAATTAGCCTCATTTAATGTTGTTAAAATTGATTTTGTTTTTTTGGAGTTTTTATACCCTTCCCACTTCGTCATGCAAGTTTTATGTATGCAAGATTTATTATGGCCTTTAATTCCTGAATTTTTATCAAGAGCTTTTTTCCAATTTTTGAATCCAATTTTATAAAATGGTGAATTATCAGAGTTATGAGAAAAAAATCTACAAGGAAAACAATAACAAGCATTATCTAATACACTGTATTCAAGCCAAGGATATGATTTGAACCATTCAGGACGGAATTGTCTCCATTCTTTCCCAAACTTAGGCTGTGGGTAATTTTTTAATATTGGTTGTGTTGGTGGATCACTGACTATATGTGTTATATCACTTAAGAACTTCCCATTCTTCATTTTCTGTATTTTCGATTTTAATTTTTTTACTTGCCATTTCGGTCTCTCCTTTATGTGAACTTGGACCAAAAAACGAATCGATTTTTCTTAATTTAATACAACTATTGTCTTTACTCATGTTAGAAGTATTAATCAAAAATCAAATAAAACAAATTTGCACTATATAACACACGAATAAACATACACGCACACGACAAGCCTCAAATGCATTGATAAACAAAATAAAATTGACGTCTTATAATCATCTAATAAAAACCTGTTTAAAAATAGACTATGTAAGGCGTTGACACATTGATACGAACGCGATAACGTAAGCTTGTATACACTATGAATATTATAATCACGGCATTTTGATATTTTATAAATTATAAAGCCAATGAAAGTATTAATATAAATTTCAAATATTTAAAAAGTATATTTCGTAATTTCTATTATGAAGTTCTTTTAAAAATAATGTAATGTGACTTTTTGATAGTTATTGTAATTTCATAAATATTTTTCAATAGGGGGGGCTGGCGAAGGGGCTGGACGGTTTTATGGGGGGGCTCGAGCCCCACCTTGCCCTACCTTGGCGCCGTGCCTGAATTAGATTTAATATGATAAAAGTATTCAACTACAAAAGTAAATAATTTTACTTTGTAATTTATTAATTTTTTACTCTATTTGTGTGTGCTACTACTAGACTATAATATTCCAAATTTGTTGGTAACATGTTGCTATACAAATCATTTCTAAAAAAAATGATTGTTAGTTTCTCTTGATTTAACAATGGATTTTTACAATTATAATAAATTTTTATAATACGCTAAATTGAATAACTTTTTTTTTATTGGTTTTTTTAGAAAAATAATCATTAACATTAATTAAATTCTGAATATTTCCATTGTAGAATCTTTTTAAACGCCAAAAGTTAATTAGAAATGATTACAATGATTTTTATTTAAGTGATCTATTACAATAAAAATGTAAAAAAATCTAACTTTTCTGATAAATGTACTGTAAATAGTAATTATAAAATTCCCTGATTGCATATTAATCTTAACAATTTCATTTTTTTCTATTTAATAATGTCAATTTCAAACTTGCAAAAAGCTACATGTTATGGTAATAAATACATTTTTTTTTTATTAAAACTTTTACTTTAAAGGGCAAAAAAAGTAGGTTCAAAATGATTACTTTTAACATATTAAAAATTGAAATCAATAATAATTTGGAAACAATTAATTTTAAAAATTATATCATATATAATTAAAAGAATTACTAATCTGGGTATAGTTAAGGAAATAGAAGTTGATGTTGCTTTTGTAATTATCCATCAATTTCTTAGAATTAAACACTATCTACAGATTTGCATCGAAGCGTTTCTTATGATAGTGATTTTAATCATTGTCAGATTAAATCTATACTGGACCCAACTATGCAACGTCTCCACTATGCCGCGACCCCACTGTGCTGGGTATTAATATTAAAATAAAAAAATAAAATTAATTATATGTTCAGTCTACTATGAATATGCAGGATGGAACAGATCTAACTGATAATTTAAATAACTTATAATCTATGAAACATTTAATATTATATTCATTTATTGGATTAATTTTTAGATTATAGAACTATATATAAAATATATATTTTTTCAAAATTACAAAAATAATTTTATTAACATTTTTTTTAGCTTTGAAGATAGTTATTTTATGTATGATTAAATTATTAATAATTGAATAAGAATCTGCAATATACATGAAAAAAATAAAACCAAACACAGTAGGGTCGCGGCACATTACTACATTGTAATCAACAATAAATAAAATACCGATCGACCTAATAATCAAAGCAGGTAAAGTAATTAAATTTTTTTCAAAAAAAGGCAGTACTGTTATATATTAGTGGCTGCACTGTTAAGCAGCTAGCGTCTTCGTTCTCTCTTTGATTAAGACGCTCTTATGATTATTTTAAAATAAAGTTTTTACTGTAAAACTAAACTTGTTCTCTTTTTTAAAATATGTATTATTAAAATACATAACATGGCGCAGTCGAGAGGATTGATAGTACCAGCCCCAGGACCGCTGGAGTTACACGGTAATTTAATGGAAAATTTTAAAAATTTTAAAAGAAAGTATGAACTATACATATCAGCTAATGACTTGGAAAATAAGTCAAATAAAATTAAAACTGCAATATTACATTCTTTTATTGGGGATGATGCTAATGAGCTGATTGATACGCTTGAGCTGACTGATAAGCCATATACAATATTAAGTGGCTTAGAACAATATTTTGAACCTAAAAAAAATTTAATAATAGAACAATTCAAGTTTTTTCAAAGAAATCAGCAAGAAGGTGAATTATTTGATCATTTCTTAATTGATCTAAGAAAGCAATCTAAAAAATGTGAATTTGGTGAATTGAACAATAATCTTTTAAGAGTGAGGATAGTTCTTGGTATTAATGACAAGAGACTTCAGGAACGGTTATTAAGAGAACCAAAATTGACTTTAGAACAGACTGTTGAGTGTTGTAGAGCTGCTGAAGCTGCTAAACAGAACCAGTCAGTAGTAATGTCAAAGGGTGATTCTAATTATTTGTCAAGTAATCCAATGGTTGATGCTGTTATTTATAATACTAAAACAGAACATTCTAAAGATTTCAACAAGTTTGATGATAAGTCAAATGGGTTACAAAGTGGTGGTCAGTCCAGTCAATCAATGAAATATAAAAATCATGACATAAATGTTTTAATGTATGATTGTAAGAAATGTGGTCGACATCATGGTCCTAGGAGTTGTCCAGCCTTCAATCAAAAATGTAAGATATGTTTAAAATTTGGTCATTTTGCTGTAGGATGTAAGTCAAGAATTGTTAAAGATAAGAGTAATTTAAGTAATAATGTAAATAATAATAGACAGGTTAGGGCTATTACTAATGAAAATAATAATAGTAGTGACCAATTATTTTTTATTAATAAAGTTAATATATGTCAGAGTTTGGTTAGAGAATCTTGGTCAGAAAATATAATTGTTGATAATAATGTTATTAAGTTTAAGCTTGATACAGGTTCTGATATAAATATTTTACCTTTGAGTATTTTAAAAAAGTTAAATAAGAATTATAATATGCTAAAATATGAGGTGAAAATACAAGCTTATGGAGGCTTTATTATTGAAGCAGTTGGCGAGATAACGTTAGAATGTATAGTTAATAATAAAAATTGTGTATTAAAATTTGTTGTTATTAATGATTTAGAGCTTGAGTGTAAAGTTGAACCATTATTAGGGTTAAGTGACTGTATGGAATTAGATTTAATTAAAAGAGTAAGTGATGTTCAGTTAAAAGAAAAATATTCAGACAAAGAGCAATTTATAAATGAAAATGAGAGTGTGTTTCAGGCCTTGGGTAAGTTTGGTGAGGAATATACTATTAGGTTAATGCCAGATTACCAATGTACAATTAAGCCACCACGTAGAGTACCTCAATCTATTCTTAAAAAGTTAGAAGATACTCTGAAATCATTGTGTGATAAGGGAATAATCAAACCAGTTGAATATCCTAAGTCATTTGCCAGTAATATTGTTATTGTAGAAAAAGCGAATGGTAATTTAAGAATATGTTTGGATCCAACTGATTTAAATAAGTATATTAAAAGAGATTATTTTTTAATTCCTACAGTAGATGAAATAAGAGCAAAATTGATAAATAAAACAATTTTTACAGTTATAGATCTTAGAGAAAGTTTTTATCAGATACTGATAAGTGAGGAGTCAAGTGAATTGTGTACTTTTAGCTCACCTTATGGGTATTATGCATTTAAAAGATTACCTTTTGGAATATCATGCGCCCCAGAAGTATTTTTTAAGACTTTAACAAAATATTTTGGACATATTAAAAATGTAATTATATATATAGATGATATATTAATAGTTGGTAGTAATGAAAAAGAACATGATGAGGCGCTAGAAGAAGTAATAAACAAAGCAAAAGAATTGAATGTTAAGTTTAATCCAGAAAAAGTACAGTATAGACAAAAGGAAATAAAGTATTTAGGAATGAAATTTAATAATGAGGGAGTTAAGCCAGATGAAAGTCAAATAGAAGCTATAAAAAATTTAAAGGCGCCAAAAAATAAAATAGAGTTGGAACGCATACTAGGTATGTGTAATTATCTAAGATAATTCATACCAAACATGTCTAAAGTAACATCAACTTTAAGGGAGTTGTTAAAAAAAAAATATAATATGGTTGTGGACTCAACATCATTCTAATGCATTAAATGAGTTAAAGACACTAATTACTAATTCACCAGTTTTATCAAATTTTAATCCTAATCTCCCTATTATTATACAAACAGATGCTTCAAGTACAGGGGTAGGTTGTTGTTTATTACAACAAAATAAACCAGTTGCATTTGCTTCAAAAAGTCTTAATGATACGGAAAAAAATTATCCTCAAATAGAAAAGGAAATGTTAGGCATAGTTTTTGCTTGTAGAAAGTTTCACAATTTTATTTATGGTTATAAGGTAATTATACAGACAGATCATTCTCCTCTGGTATCTATATGTAAAAAAAATTTATGTCAAATTGCATCAAATAGAATACAAAAAATGAGACTTAAGTTAATGTTGTATGATTTAGAATTGACTTATTTGCCTGGTAAATATATGTATGTAGCAGACTTGTTATCTAGAAATCATAGTAGCGAGACATACAATGAGATTGACATAAAAGGANTAGCGAGACATATAATGAGATTGACATAAAAGGTACTATACATTTTGTTAATAGTGAAAATAGTTTAACTAAAAGTGAGTTATGTGAGGAAACAGCAAAAGACTCAGTTTTAAAACAAGTACTTGAACTTAGTAAAGAGTGGCCTAATAGTAAGGAGCATGTGCCTGTAGAAATAAGGCACTATTGGAATTTAAGAAATGACATATTGAGTGATTCAGGTATAATATTTTATAAAGACCGCATAGTAGTTCTTTTTAACACGCTTATATTAGTTTCACTTGTATGTTGTGTGTTGTGTGTTGTGAGTTGTGAGTTGTTTGTAACTTTCCACTCACACGCGTACGAGACTAGACGGTCGGAACGTATTCACCCCACCCCGCTCTAAAGTCGTCGAAAATAATATTTTCCAACCCGTAGACAGGTGCGTGTCATCAATTATATATAACAAATTTTTATTGTAATTGACACAGCCCTGCGTCGTTTTACGCCGCGGTGCAAAGTCCAGCAAGTGCCGCACGGCCAACGACGTCCCGCCGTTAATGATACCGTAGTCTTCTTCTCGTTGT